TCTTTAACCCATCTGCTGTGTGAATATACGGGGCATTGCCATCCCCGCCGACAGGCTCTTAACGCCATTTCCAAGTAAATCTTTGACCCCACTTGATAACATTTTTCTGACTTTTCAATCATGGACTGGTTTGTCCAGTCTCGAATCTCACAAGTGGATCATACTTTGCAGTTTTCTGTGTTGGCTTTTTTCACTTAGCTTATGTTTTTGAGATTCATCCATCTTGTTTTAGTGATTTTTTTAAATCAGTAATTGATTTTTATTTCTCAGCAATTTTGGTCTATGAATATGCTACAAATTGCTTTTTTGTTCTCCTGGCCATGAACATTAGGGTTGTTTAAAAGTTGAGATATAGGAAAAAACTTAAAACTCTCTTCCCTTTCTATCCTAGAAACAAACACAAGATACAGGACACTGGGGTTCAGAGCTCATCTCATCTCTCGGTCCTCATTTACCTTATCCTCACTTGGAAACAAAGTCTAACACTGGCTGTGGAGACCCCACTCCCCAACCCCAGCATCAGCCCCTCACCTGCACGGCAGGGAGGCCCCCAGCCACGCCCTTTCATCTCCTGTGATGTTGGCTTGCTCCTGGTAGCCCCCCCGCCCTTCTTCCTTCAGCCTGTGACCCAGTCATCCCTATATCACCTGTCTATCCTCTATGAGGCCCCTCCCATCTCCCAGGCCTCCCCACCTGATGGCTTCCAGGGATGCAGCATCGCCTCGAGGTCAGGGGCCAAGCGCTGCCACCTCACTCCCATTGTGGTAGCGCATGGGGTGGCAGGGCCCTGGGGCTGCTGGGCAGGTGTGGCTATGGACCAGGCAGACACAACAGAGCTTTTTTATTTTACACTCAAAATTGTTAAGGGAAATGGAAGACAGGGAGGCGTATGAAATAGATCCTGAATTCCGAGAAATAACGGGAAATGGAGGGGACACAACATTTGAAGAGAATTTATGACTAATGAAATATAAAATGCATGAAACAACAGAGCCAGGAAAATGCAATAAATACCAAGTAGAGCAAATGGATTTGGCGTGAAACTGCAGAGTAATAGATATTAAAAGTAGATCTTAGGAGCAAGGAAGTAGGGCTTTTCAAGAACAGAAAAGCTTTAAATGTGTATCTGATTTTTTTTGAAGTATTCATTGTATCCTGTTAAAAGCAGAACTTTATGGATCCTTTCACTTAGGGACTGGTGAATCCTAAAACTTGTATGAAATGTGTGTTGACTTTAGTAGACAATCTGATGTCCTCATCGATACATCGATGTACTCAGAAATGGGTTTCCTTAGTCCGGTGGGCAGGGCTCACGCCTTTATCACAAAGATGCCCAGGAAGAGCAGGTGCCCGTCACGGATCTTCAATATGTGCTGCTTCTGCAAGCCTAACAGAAGTCTGAGGCCTACAGTCATGGCTCTGCATTACCCTTAGGGGCAGAAATCTTCTCAATGTGGCTCGAAGCCATGCAAAATCTGGCTCTATAATCAATTCATAATACTTTTATTTTAATGAATTACATGTTCAATGTTTACTTTTTAGAACATTTTTGGTTAAAACAGTTGGAGAGTGTACAGGTTCCCCTCTAATACCTTTCCATCTCACAGCCTATGACTCACATCTTGCACAGTGGTACATTTGTAACTGACAAGCCAGTTTGATACAGTTATTCACTGGTGCCCACAACTGACATTAGGGTTCACCACACTGTACAGTTCCATGGCATCTGACACGTGTGTCCTGTATCTACCATTATGGGATCACACAGTATGGGCTCTTCCTAAACATTGTGCGGCAAACTGTCATCCCTCCCTTCCACCCTGAACCCTTGGCAAGCAAGCAGACACACACACACACGTTTTGCCAGACAGGATGTCACCTTAGACTGGCTTCTTTCCATTGTCCACATTTAAGGTTCTGGAGTGATTTTTTTAGTATTTTGATGGCTGTTTCTTATTGCTGAATGGCACTCCAATGTACTGTTGAACTGGTTTCTTCATCGGTTGAACTGCAGTTTCTTCTTCCATGCACCTAGCAAAGGACACTGACCACAGCTGAAACTGCATCACATTTCATCAACAGGAGCAGTGAGGGTGGACATCTGTGCTCCTGCTTTTTAAAGTAGCAAAGCATCTCGTCTCTTAACGTAAGCATGGTGTTTATCAGCTGCAGATGTTCTTCTGTAGCTTTTTAAACAGCCGAGGGTTTCTAGCCCACACTCCTAGGTTATTGAGTTTTAATTATGAATGGTACCTGATCTTGGCAGGAAATCTTCGAGCTTCTTACCATTAAGTGTGATGTTAGCTGTAGGTTTTCTGGGTCTATTGTTTTTCAAAAGTCCCACCCCATTCCAGTTTGTTGAGCTTTTTTTTTTTTTTTCACCATGAATGGAAACTGGATTTTGCTGGATGCTATTTCTGATTCACTGACATAACTGTTATTATCTTTAAAGCCCCTTGATGTGCTGGAGCACAGACACTGATGTTTCAGTGTTGGGCCAGCTTGCCTTTGTGGGATAAATTCCACTTCGTCACTGCACACAATTCCTTAAATATGCTGAACTCAGTCAAGTAATAGTTTGTTGAGAATTTTTACAATCCATTTCTCACGAGATCCATTCCTGCAGCTTTCTTTTAATCTTTGTCTGACTTTGTTTTTAGGGTAATGCTGACCTCACAGATGGGTCAGGAAGCCCCTTTTGCTCCTAGCTTCCTTCAGACTGTAAATGTTTCTTCCCTAAGTGTTTAGCAGATTCCCCAGAAACCATCCATGCCTGGTATTTTCCATTGGGAAGATCATTAATTACCAATCTAATGTCTTTCTACAGATAGGCATACTCATGTTTCCATTTCTTGTGATTTTTGGCAATTGTATTTTTCTATTAATTAGTTTCTTCCTCATCAAAACTGTGCATATAAAACTGTCCATAATATTCCTTATCATTTAATGTCATGGGATAGGTAGTGACATCCCTTATATATATATTTCTAATATTAGTAATTTATAGCTTTCCCCCCCTTCCTTTAGGCACCCTTACTGGAGGCTTATCAATTTTAGTGATGTTTTCCAAGCCACATTTTTGTATTTCTGTCATTATTTGTTTACTGGTTGCTCTGTGTACATTTTCTTTTTCCTATCCTCCTGCAAGTAAATGGAATCTTTTTTAAAGAGCAGGGTCCTATCTGATGTACTGAAATGTTTCTGAGGGTGTTTTTATCGCCACCCTAGTGGCTGCTCTCGGCATTACACGGTGTACACACAGCTTATCAAGCTCTCGCTGTGTCCACATCTTACCAGTGTGTGAGGTAGTGTGGAACCCTGACCTCTTCACGGCCCTTTACTCTCCCATATTCACAACTGCCAATCATTCACTCAACATACACTGAAAGCTACAATTGTTAAAATTTTGCTTCGGGGGCTGGGGATTTAGCTCAGCGGCATAAGCACCTGCCTTGCAAGCAGGCGGTCGTCAGTTCGATCCCCAGTACCCATAAAAATGAAAAAGACAAAAAAAAAAATTTTTTTTTGGCTTCAATAGAAACATCCGGAAATCTCAAGTGAAGTTTATTGTGTTTACCTATATTTTTTATTTCTTTTTCCACTGTTGTTTAAAGCATTTCCTTTAACATTCTTAACCGTTCTTTATCGTTTTTGGGGGTAGTGGTGGTGGTATTGAGGGCCACCAAGTTACATCCCCCCATCTTTTTTGAGACAGTCTTATTAGTTGCTGAATTGCCCAGACTAGGCTTAGGGCTCACGCCTGTCCTGCCTCAGCCTCCCAGAGTGCTGGGATTTCAGGCGTGTGCCTCCACAACTGGCTTAGGCATCCCAGCAGGTAGGTTTGCTGGCAACAAGTGTGCTGGGTCAGCTTCACTCCTAAGCATCAATAAGGAACAAAAATAAAAAGCAAGGTTTTCTCAAATAACAAGACGCCACTGACTGTAAAATACACCATTAAGAAATCTACTGCAAATTTTCTGAAATATTTTGATTTCAGAGATGCTAGGATGTGAAGAAACTGTTCACTGGTATCTGTGAAACTGACAAATACCGACCTCATGAGGTCAGGGTTACGGTGAGATCTCCAGATGGGTTCAACATCGAAGCAGAGCGTGGAGGTTACCATCAGCTCCGCCCTGAACACATTTTTCTCTAAACACTGAAATTTTACTTCCAAGCTTACAGGTTACTGGCGCAAAACTTAACATCATGTTTTAACATGGAGCTACTTTCTGAGGGTCCAAGGCCCACTGGGACCTGGAGGGCAGACACTGCCAGAGTCAAGAGGGGCACTGTGCCAGCTCCGTTACGTTAGGCTCTAGGGCATCGATGGTGAACCTTGTAGAGCTCTTGATGACGAACAGGCCACAGCGGCATGTGTGCCATATGTTTGATGCCACTGCAGGTTGGTTGTTACAAACTCACAGAGAAGTGGGATATGGGAGCTCAACACAGAAGCGTACCTACAGGATGCAGGACGCTGTTCAAGTCCCCAAACTGACAGCGTAAAGGTTCACCCGGTCTCTGTAGGCAGACGTGGAGCAGAGGAGTGCGGACGGAGTGCCCAAGGGCCAAGGGCTGCTTACCTTCCCCGGGTGCAGAGGGCAACAGCTCCTCTCCGCATGCCCCGAGCAGAGCCCCACACATGGCTTGCAGAGGCACCTGCAGGGTCTGCGGGATGCCAAGGGCTAAGGACAAGGTCCTCAGAAGCCTTAGGACATCAGCCCTCTTGCTGGCTTGGTGGGAAGTGGCAATCAGGAACCCCCTGGAAGGTCCCGGCCTCGGGAACCCGGGGGGCAGGAGAACGAGCGCGGCCAGACCTCTGCACCTCCGGAGGCTCCTCAGGCCCCTCACACCAGGGACATCTCTCCGCACCTGATGCAGGACGCTAAGTCTACTCCAACATGCTCACTAAACTTCTCACATGTTTTAAAAAAGCTGAGGTCACGTATACAAAACTGCAGGTGAAAAGCGGCAGTACGGGAGGAAAACAGAGGTGATCCAAGGGGATCAGAACTTCTTTATTGTCTTCTTACAAAAGTCACGTAAACATCAGCACAACCTCTCCTCATCCCCAATTCCAGACTCATCACGACACATTAGCTTTACATTTAAAATAAACAGGAGAAATAAAATGCTTTTCCAGGTAAACGTACATGGTTTTGTTGTCTGTTCGGGAAGCCTTCCACACGAAGGCTCACAGATCCGCGTGGCACCGGGGAGCAGGACGTGGTGACCGAGGACGGCGGTCTTGGCAGCTTAGCCAGGACGCACCACACCGGGCGGCCTCCTCTCCACACGGCAAGGAGTAAGACACTGAGCTGCTCCTGCGACGCCGAACTTTCCTTCCTTGCAGAGGAAGGAGTCACCTGCGCACAGGCCTCTCATTCTTCACTGCTCTTTAAGTAGATGTGCGAGATCCAAGTCTTCCTTCCACCAGAAAAAAGCACGGAACACGCAGCCGCTCGGCTGGAGGAGACTGGGTGGGAGAACGATGCAGCTGCTGCTACCCGGTGAAGACGCCTTGGAGACAGTGAACCAGCGCTCCCTCGCTCCAGTCCGTCCGGAGCAGAACCACTTAGCTGAAACTTGGTTTCCAGAGCAGCGGTGCTGGAGAGAAGCACCCCGCAGAGCTGCTGACGGCTCCCTTTCCAGTCCAGCTGGCCCTGCCTGCCCCAAACGTCACAGCAGCCCGTGAGAAGAGGCAACTTTCTCAGGGACGACTAGACAGCCCGTGCTGACTACTCCAAATGAAGAATTAGTACACAAACACCCATCATCTGAAAACCCCCAAACCCCACATTCCCCGAATCCTGAAACTTTCCAAGCACTGAATGTCCTAAGTAGGAAACCTCACGTATGACCTCAGGTGACAAGTCCTGTTAGAATGCAAGCGCACTAAAAACACCGTGCAGTTACCTTTGGCTATGTGAACAGAACACATACACATCAGTGAACCTCCTGCTCAGGCTGGGGTCACACTCCCAGGGCACCTCACTGTATACAGGCAAAAAAATATTTTAAAATCCCAAGTCCAAAAGCCTCGCCCTGCGTATTTCAGGTAACCGGTACCAGGAACTTGGGGAAGAACTAGGGGACTTTGTTCTACTGACTCCACTGATGCCAGATACTTTGGTAATGAAATCCTGGAAGCTGAGCTGGCTTTCTGTCCCAGAAATTCTCTGGGCCTGCAGCTTGCTGGAAAGATGGGCCAAAACACCTGCAACAGCCTGCCCCATCATTGCAGGATATATGATACTTTCCCCTTCTTTTACTTAGCCCAAACTCACCCTAAAGAGCCTGTTTCTTTTCCTACCTTTAATAAAGCTTTGCTACCATTAAAACAAAACAAACACACAAAAAATGCAGAGCAAACAGCATGATAGCTAATACACAGTAGATGTTCCATACACGCTCTTGGGTCAGTGATATTTTTGACACTTTTTGAACACCAACTGTACGCCAGGCTGTTTGTTGTTTTACATTTTATTTCCTAGTAGGTGCTGTCAGTCTGTTCTTCAGCTGCTTAAGTCAAAGATTCACTTTCTTTAGAGAAGGGGAAAATGTTCATCAGGGATGTGCTGTACTTGGATCCAACCTGCCTGGTGTAGAAACCTGTTCTTCGCATTCCTGAACATTGCTCTTCCTTTGCTACTGTATACAGAGGGAGGTGGACAGAAACCGAAAGTAAGTTTCATTAAAAAGCCAAGCTCGGCAGCTGGGCGTGGTGGCCCTACCTGCAATTCTACCTACTTGGGAGGATGAGACAGGAGGATTGCAAGTTGGATGTCAGCACAGGAAACCCTGTGAGATCTTGTGTCAAAATGAAAAAGTCTGGGGCACTGCTCAGGTGCAGAGTGCTTATCCAGTAGTTGCTGAGGCCCTGGGCTCAATCCTCAGTATCACAAACACAAAATGAAAGCAGAGCAACAAAAAAAAATCTACGTTTCTATACTTGATAGATTAAAGGGCAAAAAAAACTAAGATTTCCAATTTTGATACACTAAAGAAGCAAGAAGCATACAATCTGAAATAAAATAATAAGCCCTACTTGGAAGAGAACAAAAAGGCGCTGCTAAGTATCTCACACCAGCTAGGAATTCTAACTAACCGCTGTTGTTATTTTGCAGAGAGCTGTCAGGAGAAACTAACTGCATTCTCTCCACTACCCTCCCTGCTCCAGGACTGGACAGGAACACTCTTCATGCTCCTTCTCAGGAAGCTACCCAGTGCCCGCACACAAAGAGCAGTGCGTCCCTACAGCAGGAGGCAGCCGGGAGATAACACAGCACCGGGAGCCAGGGCTCAGCTTCCGGCCCAGGAGCAGGGCACTGGGTGGTATCCGGCCTGGATCTATGTTTCACCACAGGAACCAGCAGACCCCGCACAGGAAACGCTGCTGACCCAGTCCCGGGACTGGCTGGCAGAGGAGAGTGCAGGGATGGGGAAACTAGGAAATGAACATAGTCAGGAAAGAGATGTTGGCATCAGCAGAAAGAAGCCAGATTCCAGAAGCGGGTAGGGTAAGAGCTGTGTTCCTGACAAGGCTGCCTTCCAGGGCAAACCCTATCACCTTCTCAATCCCCACCCAGACACCAAGGGTCATTGACCTGCTTTCTTCCTGCTGGTGCTGCTGCTGCAGGATCTGACCTCCACGGCTTCTCGGGGCAGCAGACAGGGCACATGAATTTCAACAGTGTGGCTCGGGGAATCTAAGTCAGTGCTTTGATGGTCGGCTTTGATGTTCAGTTTCATCTTCCAGAGATATTACTTACATTTGTTCCAGTTTTAAGTGAACATAAGTGTGAAAAACAGATTTGAAAGAGCCCTGATAAAGTCCAACCCTATTCACTTCCCCCAACTCCAGTTTTATTTACCTTATGAGCTCCTGCCCAGACATCCCTAAAGAGCAAATGCTGCTTACACACATATGTAAGGTACGGGTGACATGGGAGCTTCTGCAAATTTTCAGTGAGTATTTATTGGCTGTATAACCTTTGGATACCAGAGAAACTTCAATATGCACAAACCTGCAGGAAGTTCCCAATTCCTGAACTTTGGTTATATGAACATACGTCAAGCGTCACAGAAATTGATCCGAGTATAAAAAGAAATGTCTTAAGAAACAAGGACAATTCTTTAATTCTCCTGCCGTCTTTTCTTTATGTGAGCAGAACTGTTTTGTTCTATATTCCCTTTCACCTTGGTCAATTTCCAAAAACAATGCCAATAATTTTTTGTTTTGGTACTGGGAATCAAACTCTGGACCTGGCACTTGCCAGGTGGGCACTGTGCCACTGAGCTAAGTCCCCAGTGCCAATAAAATCCATCAGAGGACACAAGATAAACCATTACACATAATGTTGGTGTCCCAAGGTAACTTTGAGAAATCAATCGGTCTCAAATAAATAAAAAACTATTTTAACTTAGGATATTTGCATTATGTAACATGTGTGAAAAAAATCCTAAGTTTTAGTTTTTGCTGTTGTTGTTGCTGTTGTCGTCTTTTTGAGACAGGTTTCACTATGCAATTCAGACTAGACAACAACTCACTCTGTGGCCCAGGCTGGCCTCTGACTCACAGTGATCCTCCTGCCTCTGCCTCCTGAGTGCTGGGATGACAGGGTGCACAACCACACCTGGCCTAATTCTTAGTTTTTGAAATTCAAAAATCCAAACAACATGGAGCCTAAACAAGAGGAGGTGTGAAGCTCACAGGGGGACTTGCTGCAAACCCCATGACAAACACTCTTGGATTTCAGCTTCTTCCTGGGTTCACTGGTGTTTGCTAACTGCAGAAGCAATCTGTATTAATATTCAGACAAGAAGAAAGACCTGGTAGCTGAGCACCTTTTACGGGGTTTCACAAAAAAGGACAATTACCCCCCAAAGAAAAACCCCCAAAACTCAAAAAACAGAAGAAAAGAGAATGAGAAGAAAACATAATTAACTCTATGTAAGTCAGGATGGAGGGGCCCAGACGTCCAAACTGACATTGCATATGTGTAACGGGATCGCATCTCTTGACTACAAATATGGATTACATTCACATTTATGTTCACTCAGTCAGTCCACACGTCCAGCCGACTGTTTAAACTGCCTCGCAGCAATGGGAGGAGCTCGGTCCCTCAGTCCTCAGGCTCCTGTCCTCTGTCCTGGCTGCTCGGCAGCCTCTGCACACGACTCCACGGTGTGGTATATGAAGGGGTAAAGCTTCACGTCCGGCACTGGGGTGGGACAGTTTCTACATTCCTCATTGTAGTATCGGAGCAAGAGCTTATATACTTCTCCTGGAGAGGAAAGGGCCAGAACGATTCAAACACTCAGGTTTGCAGACTCCCAAAGCACTTAGAAGTTACCCAGCTTACTGTAACACAGCAGGCTACACACAGTGCATCGTCCATGCTGTTTTTATTTTTTGGCAAGGCTGGGGATTGAACCTGGATCCTTGCACATGGTGGGCAAGTGTTCTATCACTAAGCTACATGCCCATCCCCTGCCATGCTACCTTGGGGGCACATGGAAACCCGAGTTATGCCTGCTTAGCTCTTGAGGTGGTGGTCGCACTTGAGGAGCACAGTGCATGTCTGTCTGATAAATGCGCCCTTGGCCTGGAGTTGGCTAGATTTATTCTCGGGTTTCTCCCTTTTGTTTGCTTTTTCTTCGTTTTGGTGTTGGAGATTAAATCCAGGGTCTTATGCACGTTAAACATAAGTCTACACTGAACCAGTCCCCCTGTAGTTTTCTATACATAGTAAAGTCAAAATGTAGAGCAACTCCAGCTTCTTGATGCTACTTTAACAGACTGACACACTCCTTCAAATCACGGGTGAAATGCTGGCAGAGGAGCACTGCGAACGCTGCCCTCTGTCCTTGTCCTCCTCCCTCGGAGCCACTTGTTTCTCCCTTCTAGGCCACTGTGACCCATCCGGGTTTAGCCAGCGCTTCTCCCACGAGTGGGCCAGCCGTCTAGACACGCAGGCTCAGGCCTGCTTCCTACTTACCGACAGTCAGCTTCCTCTCAGTGAGGAAAGTGTGCATGCTGTAAATGTCTCGCATCAATTCCGAGTCCCCAAAGGTGAAATAGGCCACGTCTCGCTCAGCGGCAGCGGCTGCCAGGATCTGGATTAAGGCTGCGTGAAGAGAAGAGACTCGGCTGTATGATGACACTGCCCATCAAGGTTCTGTCAGCTCTGCCAGCTAGCGAAGTTACAGCTGGCGAGCCATTACCTTACCCAGATTAAAGATTTATAAGTTGAATACACACGTTATTAGATACAGTGAACACAGGTGGGCATAAATCATCTACTTGTATGACTTTTCAGATATGCTGCTGAGAATATCATTACGCCACCAGATTCTCATCGAGACACTTTTTCTAGGCCATAAATAATGAAAAGCACATCTGAAGCAGGAAACCAAGGCACTTAAGAGCTGGTATTTATATTCACTTCTATTAACCTGGAAATTGAATTCCTGTGTTTGTTTGCGTGATACAGTAGTTTGTCTTATTACACAGTCACTGGTCTTTGTGTCACAGGCACATCTGGGAGGTTCTGATGTTCCCATTAACCCTGGTGAGCATTCCCAAAGAGGGCTGGCGAGACGCCCGAATCCCTCTGCACGCCCACCTCCACCTGCCCCTGCAGCCTGGAGTCCCTGACATCGGAGACATCAGACCTAATTCTCTGCTATGCTGGAAGAGAAGAGCAACTGGGACCTGCTGGCCCTGGGAGTCAAAGCTCCAAACCACTGTGTTAAAGAATGACTCCAAAAATAAAGTTCCTTCACAATCTTAGTCTCAGCTGGTGGAATTTAAGTAACAACTACACTGAACACATTGCAATAAAAAGTCCTCCCAACAGTCATGTATCTTTTACTCTATAAAAGGGAAGCTGGGAATCAAATTAAAACATTACAAAGGCTATCTGTAGTTTTGTCCTTTTTTTTTTTCCAGTTTTGTCTTTCCGACAACATAGTAATATGTATTCTACATGCATATAAAATAATAGTAGGAAGGACGGAAGTGGGCGAGGTGGTAGCGGTCTGTAACCGCATCACTCTGTGGGGCCGAGGGAAGGGCTGCCAGTGTGCGCCCGGCCACGACGACTAGGTGAGACGCTGTCTCACAAGAAAAATGGACACGGAGCTCAGTGCAAGAGGGCCCTGGACGTGACCCTAAGTACTGCAAAGAACAATGAAAAGCACGAGTAGGTAGGAACCTAGTTATAGTAAAGGTAAACTACAACAAATACCGTAACTGCACTTGGGGGGGCGGAAATGACCCTAGTAACTTATGAACACGGTGTTTGACTACCCAGGACAGAATTACACACAAATTCCCAATTCTTTTGTCTAGGCTTGCACATCCCATGGTACAGGTAAAGCAGCGTGTTAGAGGCCTGGGAGTGTGCTCCTGCTGCCTGGCTGACACACACCTGGGTGTATGTTTATGCACACATCTTTAGCTCTGCTGGCTGAAGGTTACCACACACCAAACTCCTGTAGCAACGAGTACACTCAGTGCCCAGATCTTGGTCTTTAACAGGATTCCCCCGAGGAGATGGGTTCCTTAGAGAAGTGACTGACTCGATGGTTGGAATAAGCAAGGCCCAAGATGAACCTACACCATTTTGCTGTATCAGAAAGGAAGGAAGTGATGAAAAACTGATGGGAGGTGACCACAGCAAAACGGTGCGCCCAAATCTGGATGAGCGAGGCCCTGGAGCGCTGTGCACAACAACGCGTTACAAACGCTGAGAAACCACGCACCCAAGACCACGCTGGCAAACAGGCAGATGGATACATAAACAGGCGGGATCCAGGGCTCCTGCTCCCGGGAGAGAGCAGGGCCTAACTGGAAAGCTGGGGAGAGGGCCTCGGCCTGAGGAGATGCTAAATCCACAGGAACCTCTGACGCAGGAAGTCCTTCCACAGACTGTCCATTATTTACCAGGGAAAAGGGAACCACTGTTCCGTACCGTGGAGAAACCAGGCAACGCAGGCCTGGGTGACCCCAGTGCAGCGCCCGGTGGTATCTGAAGTCACCTAGTGTCTTAGGACACCATCATGGAGCCAGGGGCTGACTCATGTGCCAGGCCCCATCCTCAGCATGAGGGAGCAAACCCAATACACGAATGTCACAAAGGACAAAGGCCGTGGAAACACTCCACACTCAAAGGGAGGCTAAATGACAGGGTGTGCACAGTGCTCTGACACTGGACCCTGTGCTGGAGGAAAAGAGGTGACAAAACTTCTGCTGTTTTTGAGACAGGGTCTCACACTGTAGCCCGGCCAGCCTTGGACTTGCGACCCTCCTGCCTCAGCCTGTGGAATGCTGGGAGGGAAGGCAAGCAAGCATCACGACTGGCTCAGGAAGACCTTATCAGGTCATATGACATCATGAGAACAGGGACGGGAGAGTAGACAGAAACCCCAATATGCTATTTATGAATTTAATAACTGATGTGACTAAACATGAGAATGTGTTCCTCTTAGGAAATACGCACTGATGTATTTCATGTAATTTATGGTCAAATGGTTCAGAAAAAACATGCATATACAGAGAGATGTTTACTTTTTATAAATTTTAAATTATTTTTAAATGAATATGTAGAAGGAAAACTTTTAAGTTGAATTAATAAAATTTGGTGTAGTGGAGATCTGAAGAATATGTGGTATTATAATACCTGCAAGATTCTAAAATCTTATCAAAGTATATCCAAATAGCCAAAGTAGTATTTATTATCTATAGCCTGGGAGGGACCACAACTAGGTCTCATTAATCTCAGTGTTGATATTAATTAACTTAAAAAGAGAGCTAAGTTTTAATTAAAACTGCTCAACCAACTTATGCATACATGAAAGCTTCAGTACACCCATTTTAAAAGGTTTCTAATTAACCTACACTATACATAAACATGGACCCTAATGAATTGCCATGAGGTGCCGCCTCTTCCCTTTAGGAGAGAAAATCCCCTTTGATCACCCACTATACTGCTCACCATTCGTAGCTAACACAAAACACCACCTTAATAAACTTAAGAATTGTTTCCTCACAGAATTTATCCTAAAAATGTTTCAGAGGCCATTTTGCTCTGCAGAGAGTTTGGCATTAAACTTGACAATACTATAAAAAAAATAGAGAGGTTGCGTTTTAGTAACAGCGAGAAAACAAACCAATTTGTACCACATCCCCCTGGGCTGGTCCTTTGTGTGGACCTGGGACCAAACCCAGGACACCAAGCATGCCTGGCAAGCACTGGCCACTGACCTCCATGCCCAGCCCTGGCCCACAGCCATTCCTGTCTGTGGAGTGCTGGCCCAGGGCCCGGGAGCTGAGTACGGGCACTTGGTCCCCTGTTTCCGATAGCTGCTGATTTTTCTCTCCTACACTACGGAGGTGGTGAATCAGATCATCCCGCCATTCTTGGAGTTCAGAATTCCATAATCACCACTGTAATTTCTTTCCCTGTATTAGATGTTAACTCTAAATACACAAATGAGACTTTCAGAAAGATAACTTCATCTCTACCCTAGTCACTAACAAAGGCTCGTTTAAACAGCACTGTCTGCAGACCTCACTGTGACACCCCCAATGTGTGTGAGACCGGAGACATACCTCATGATTTAAATGAGCTCTCTTGCATCAAGAGTTAGATGAAGATAAATCACAAATCTAATAGGGTGTGTGGACTGATTCCAAATCCGATATAAAAGCATTGAATTTTAACTTCAAGCACAACTAGGTGCCAAGATAATCACTTAAATTAACCTGCAGGGAGATAGGTTTTAATTTTCTTTTTGGCATCAAGTGTTGAACTATGAAGGAAATGCAAATAAATATGAATAACCACCTCAAAAAACAATTTATAGCATCTTCTCCAACAAATGAACCCAGCAAAACCCGGGTAAATGATGGCTGCTGGGCCACGGAGGGTCTGTGCCATTAGCAGGTCATCACAGCGACACCTGCTAGCCCCACGGTCCGGGGGCACAGACACCGACTCACAGCTCCCGAGGATGAACTTACTGATCCTCACAGGGAAGAGGCGATGATTTCTCTCTGGAAATAAGGGGATTCAGGCACCAGAAGGCTGCGTAGTTTGTGTAAGGTCACCCAGGCCCTCGCCCACTCCGCCCCCACTGCCTGTGCACGGCCAAGCAGCTCTCCCCAGGTGCAGGCCCCGGACTCTCCTCACGCTGTTTATCGTGCTGTTCAACGCATGCTGGCAAGGAGGCCCCGTGGGCTCAGACCGGATTCGTGCCTGCCCCGTTCGCCCAAGGCCGTTGGTGGGTGCTCATCCCACTGGCTGCCCTGGAGGCCGAGCCCTGCCACCAGCCCTGCAGTGCCCTCCTCGTCACATAATAGCGCTTCTAGGTCAGCTCTTCTCCTCTACCTGTTTTCTCCTGGAGCCACTGCTTTTCACTGTTTGTTTTTTAACCATGTAGTTTAGACTGGACTTGAACCCACTATGTAGTGCAGGCTGGCCTTGAACTTGTGGCAACCCTCCTGCCTCAGCCTCCTGAGTGCCAGCATCACAGGTGTGCACCACGTGCTACGTGTGATGGCCACTGGTTACTGACCTATCTACGCCTGGGTCAGTCCTCTTACCACCGAGGGAGAGGACAGAGCCTCCTACAGACTGCTGTGAGCCTACACAGGTGAAGGATACACTCCAGGTACAACTCCCAGAACACGGAATGCACTCCACTAATGTCTCCTCCATTAGTAACACCAGCAATAAGAACAATGGACACATGCTGTTTTCTGGGGAAGACAGGGAAGTGTGAATGTCTGCTGGACGCCAGCTGTGTCTCTCTGGGCCAGGTTGTCAGTCTGCCTAAAACCTTGGTTGCCCGCTCTTACAAATGGGGCTCCAAACTGGTGCCAATCTTCTCCAGATTAACATTTATTTGGAGCTCAGCTATCTTGATTCTAAGACAGCAAAGAAAATAGCAAGACATTATTGAAGTTTGACAACGGTGGACATGAAGTCAGAGGGAAAGTAAACTTATACTAAGTTTTTGTATCTCAGAAACCTTTCACTTAATGTCAGTTTGTCACAGAAACTGGCTGGAAATCTCAGTATCAGTAGGAATGTGTCCAGTAGTTACTGACTTGCTGGCTACGATAACACGGTCCCAGCGATAGGAACTTACGTAAGCGGGTCCAGTTTAAGAGCACTGGCAGGATGGGAACCTATGCGCGTACGCGCGCGCGTGCACACACACACACACACACACACACACACACACACACACAGTGCGAAGGCACTGATCCCACGATCAGGTTTTCCCGCGTTCAGTTTCAAACTGTTTTTTAGCGACACTGGCCAACAACCTCCCCCTGTAGAGGAGGAAAGGCTAAGCTGTAGCCCTATGTTTTTTCAATAAAAGAGTCTGAATGTGGAAACTGGGAGATGTATGATGGGCTCACTCCTGATGAGCCCGTTTCCCAGTACCCTAAGTGGAACAACGCAGCTCCTCGCAGCCTCGTACACATCCTATCTCACAGCACAGCACACTGATCTCCGGCTGTTCCCTTTCCATCATGGCACTGGGTGGGAGATGCGACTTCCTGCCGCTGACTGGCACCTTCAGGGAGTACCATGCTGCACAGCGCTAGCCTAGGACAAGGCAAAAACCCTGCAGGTCGGTTTCTGCTCAATGCTTTTGCAGCACTATAAAGAATCGCTGTGCCAGGGTAGCTGGTCCATGCCTTTAATCCAGCACTTGAGTCAGGTCAGCCTGGACTACACAGAGACCCCATCTCAAACCAAAGACAAGCACCAAACACATCTGAGTTGGTGGAGTGGCACATGCCTGCAGTCTCTGCTGCTGAGGGGGTCGCTGCAGGACGACAAGTCCCTGGTCGGCCTGGGGAACTCAGAGACCCCATCTGAAAGTTAATGACAAGGGCCAGGGATAGCTCAGTGGCAGAGCACCCGCCTAGTCCAAATCCCTGGGTCTGGGAAACATGCCACAAATAAAATACCCTGGTTTGGAACTACCTGTAATTAGAAGCCCAGTGTGAACCTCGCCTCCCATGGCAACACTCCCAAAACACTTTCCATGTATCTGTGTAACCGTTTTATATTTGTGTAATCTATGGTAATCCGTGTAATCTGCGGTAACTGTTTGTGTAATCTGTGGTAATTCGTTTATATTTGTGTAATCTGTGGTAATCCATGTAATTATGGTAACCATTTATATTTGTGTAATCTGTGGTAACACAGATACATTTGTATAACCATTTTTCATGGCTGTGTAATGTCTCATTACACAGATGTATCTTTCTTTTTAAAAATCAGCTTTAGGAGCCAACCCCTACCAAGGGCCATTACAGTAACTGCTTCTCGTGTGTTAACGACCATTCAGGTGAATGAAGGGAACGGCATTCTTACTGAGTTATGCTCAAGTTTAAATCTAGTAACAGCAGATGAATCATGCAGTGGAAATCTTTGAACACTACCCCTGACAGTCAACAGAGTAAGCACAGCTGCCATCTGAAAGGCTTTTAAGCCTCAGAGAAACAGAAAGAAATGAACACATTTATAAAGCTTTCCAAATTGTCCAGTACAAAAGATCAAGGTTTATGGCAGACGTGGTTGCTGGATTGATGACATGAATCTAGTCATTCATTTTACTTAAGAGAAAAGCCAAAAAAAAAAAAAAAAAAGTGTTTGCTGTAGGATCAATAAGCCCAGAGTGAAAAACAGGTTTCCTGAAACGAATTCAGGATGGAAAAGACTTTCATAAAATAGAAACCCAACAGTCTTTTTCTGGGCTTTCAAATACTGATTTAAAAAAAAAAGGAAGTGTTGCAGGACAAAAAACTGTGGGTGAAAATCTTTAGAATGAGGGAATAGGAAGATTTTTTTCTAACGAAATCACAGAAATACACACGTGAAAAACTTTAGTGTGGCTACATCCCAAAGGTTGAAATAAATACAAAACAACTTGGAAAATGCCTGTAACATACAATCATTAAACAATTAGCAACTCTTAACATACAACTATTCCAGAAAAGGTAAACAGGAAGAAGGTATTAAAAAGCAATTCACAAAACAAAAAAAATGTCCAATGAAACTCATGCAAACTCTTGAATCTCAGAAGAAGTGTAAAGACTGAGAAGTCCTGTGTGTGTGCGGCTGCTCAGGCAGGGAAGGCCGTCTGAGGGGCACAGTGCTCCAGGGCAATTCGCAGTCTGCATGCGGGCACAGGGTGCCGCTCTCACTTCTAGTAATTAACCTAGGAAGATAGCTTATAAACACAACCATTCACGGCTTATCAGACACGGAAAGGAAACAAGTGACTACCCCGGGTGAAGACTCCGTGGGCTCTCTCTCTCTCTCTCCTGTAAGCTACTAACACATTACAGTACAAGGGCTGATAAAAAGCTGTGATGTGTAAATAAAAAACATTTTATGAAGACACACCAACCAGACACACCTCCACAAGTCCTCCCTTGTTTATGCCATCGTTCTTGCCCTTGGAAGCAGGTCTGGTAGCCGACTTTAGCTGTGCTATTGTAGCTGCCTCAGTGTCGCGAACCAGTCACAAACACTTCCCTCTCATGGTTGTTTTGATTGTGAGAAGAGCCGGAAGTTGCATGGCAGTAATGTTTCCATGGGTCAGGAGCTGCGATAAACGTTCTGACCTGAGCCAGGACATCAAGGCAGACAGGACAGTGCACTAAGGACACAAAAGGACCTTCCGGAGCTGCTTCAGAAAGCAGCGAGAATGATGGGTAAGCGTGCGTGGAATGAGGGGAGCATTCTGAAGGAGCTGGACAGAGAAGCACACAACGGTAACCGCTGGCCACATCTACACTCGATGCTGAAACTGTTCATGAGACTGCAGTGTTTTCAAAAGCAGAATACACAGTGCGACCTCATTAATACCAAGTAGTTACACACATTATTACACAGGAGCAGGTTCTGGTGATTTTTACATACTTACAGTATTTCTCTGGATAATCAAAAGAAATAACTGTGTCACTTTTATAAAAACAGTGACAGGCCCTTACCGCTGGGGTGAAGGCAGTTACACTAAGACAAGAGTCAACTGTTCTATTCCCAAGGAGACGGACTTTATTCTGTCTAGATTGGCTATCAAGGCCATGTTTGCTTTCATCGTTTATTGTTACTTTGATAATTACTGTAAAACAAAGAACTCAGCTGGGTCTTGTCCTGGGTTCGCGGCTGCAGCTCTGAAGACCCAAAAAACGGCCTGAGCAGAGCTAGGGTCTTTGTTATGCTAATGAGGCGGTGTGAGAGCCCCATCTCCAGGGAGACCAAGTTCAATCACTGGGTCAGGATATAATCAATCAAGGCCACGCAATCAAAGCTCAGTAAACTGCTGAGCACGGAAGGCAAGCGTAGCTCCTCCTGCACAGAGCTGTGGCGACAAGACACGGGGAGGCTGTCGGAGTTCTGGGTCCCACCCAAGCCTCCCCCTGCAGGTAGCCTTCCCAGTAAAACAGCTATTGGAAGCACCGGGCCTCCGAATTCTGAGTCACTCCAGGGACTTCCCAGACTTGAGGCCCAGGCTCCCAATAGCGGGGTGCAGTCTGAGATGAAGGCCCTGCTGCTCACCAGGCCAGCTGGACGGAAGTGGAACCGGAAACAATCCTAAGAAATGATGCCTTCAAAAGCAGAGCAAATGCCAGGGTCCAGGAACAGCCACTAGCTTTGGTCAGGTTTGCCATTTTTTCTGCCATGCACAGTGAAAAGGGAGAAGCCCCCGTGGCTCCCGGGCGCCCTGGGCTCCTCATCTTGCCGCACAGCAGCACCCGCAGCGCAGTGCCGTCACGGCTCGCCCCTCTCACAGGTTGGCCAGGCTGTGTCCCATTCACCTCTGCACTCCGTGCCAGGCCCCTCAGCTCAGTGAAGGAAGGAGGCGGCCACACCGCTCTGCCCGTAGAAATCCCCCCAGCAAGGGAAAGCGCTGCTGGGTGGTCTGCTGTGAAACTGCACAGCCTCTTTGGCCTTTCCCTCCCCCTCAACTTCCTATATTCAATTAAATGCGGTGGCTCATGGATCAAAGAGATAAACCTCTGCAAAAATAGCAAATGAGACTAAGAATTCCTTCAAACATAAGGAAAAAAGGACAGTGTCAAACAGTCTTTCTTTTGCAGGCTTTTCTAGTCTCTCATGACAGAGCATTAGAAATGTGGCCTGAAGGCTGGCGTTCGCCCTGGTCAGCACGTCATTATGCTCCTTACCACAACGCACCTTTTAATCTAGCGTCACCCCCGAAGGCACCGCAGCCCCAGTTTCCCGTGGCCACCGCAGAGAGGCTCTCTGAAGGAACGCCAGGGCGGAGGAATCCACAGTAAGCCTGCGGGATGAAAGACACATCACAGCGCGTGAGTGACCCCGGCAGCAGGGCTGCTGCCAGCCGCCGTCCCGGGCCGCTTCCGCTTCTGTTATCCAGCTTCTGTTCGCTCCCTCTCTCTTACTGCCAAGGCAGAGTGGGAAACAAAGAAACAGAAATGCCTGGGATTATACAAGGAGAGAGTAAGAAATGACAGAGTCTGATAGTTACCTGTTTTGATACAAGCCAATCAAATGCCTTAAATCAATGCAGTCCTCAAATTTCTTTTTCCAATTCAAACAAATAGGAAAGGGACTGTCAGAGCTATTTCCAGAACTGACCAGATCCCCGTGACAGAGGGAGACCCTGGGAGAGGCGCTTGTTCCCACAGTGTTCTCTGAGGGCTTCTGATGGCCCTCCATGGGCAGCTGCTCTCCTGCCACCCAGCCCTGCCCCTCCCGAGTCACCGGGTCTGGATCAGCAGCTGTGCTCAGCTTGCACATGTGCTGCCTGCCACCGGGTGCTCGCAAAGAGCAAGCATCTGTCTTTAAGAAGGGCTCCCACACCTGGTATAACACTGTCCTTATTTAAACCCCTCCAGTTGGAGAATTCTCTAGCTTTGCAGCGCTATCTTAAGCTAGAATATTTAAAAATCTGTCAGTAACCTAAGGGAAGTACACTATGCCCTGAGGATGTGGGCCAAATATTAATTAAACGAACAGCTCTTTTTGTACATGTGAAGATTATGGGATTATGGTTTAAGGCACCAGAGTTTCTGATTTCAATTTTTTTTTTTTTTTGCTGTCAACTTAGTAATCTTTCTGTCTCTAAAGGGTTCTCCACTTTTTGAAGCTATCAGGTTACTATATTAGGAATTCAATAGGAACAGCAAAGCAAGGCTCCCCTAAGTTCTCCCAGGTACCATGCCAAGTTCAAAATACAGCCTATGTATAACAGTAAATAAAATTAAAAGAGTGATCACTGACAGATGTTCCCAGAGAAAAACCAAGGATAAAGAAAGATGCTTCTATGAAATCCACACAGAGAAATATAGTAAATTGTTCTTGGAAGTTTCCACAAAGGTATAAAAATTTATTTTACACACCATCTGGATGGATTAACAAGGCTGTTTCTTCTGCCCCTCTTGGGCTGTAAATCCTGACAGATACTAACTATGAGCTGGTGCCAGGCCATTATTCAATGCTATGATACGAAGCTGACACAAGCAGACGCGTGGAGCTCCTGGAAAAATCTTGTGAAAGCTCGAGTTTTGGGGGGCAGGTTCTTGGTCAAAAAACAATCTGACATTATATGGACAAGGGGGAGAACAAACCTTCGTCAGAACGAAGATGATTTTGCCATTCCGTTCCTGTCAATACTTTTTAGATGCCTGGACAAAAAGGAGGACTCTGAGCTTCCTCCCCGCGTCCTCACTTAATACTGCAACAGCAGAGCAGTCTGAGTCTTCCTCTAATAACCAGGCTCAGTTTATTTCACTAGCTAAAACTGTCTAGTTCAACAAAGCACTTGAAGTTACTTACATTATCAGACACAAAATGTAACAGAAGCTTATTAATGAATTTCCCTGAAAAGTGGCAGTTACAAAAACAAGCCATGAAACTGAAATTAACCTGCTTTTAATGATTTAATCAAAGAAATTAAATTATGTAGAAGTACATGTTAGTCATAAAAATAACGTTCAAATGATTAAACACAAAATTCATTCATTCTGTTAAAATTAAGCACGTACAAAGTGAGAAACAGGAAGTCCAGCTGTCCTGCAAGTATCCTGTGGAGGAATGGTTCCAGGACATCCCCAAGAAACAAAGATCATAGACGATTAAGCCCCTTACATAGAATCCTGTAGTACTTTCGTATAACCTAGGTACACTCTCCTGTACCCCTAAGCCATCTGTAGATTACTTAGAATGTAAATGCTATATGAATGGTCGCTATATATTCTTCCAGGAAAAGTTTGTACATGTTCCCTTTTTTTTGGACCATGGCTGGTGTGCAGCTGACTGACTCTGCCGATGCAGAACCCAAAGCTAGAGAGGGCTGACCGTGTAAGCTGTGCCAGGTCTCTTCAGAGGACCTGCCCAGGCTTTCCCTTTTTCCAGGGAGCAGAGAGATCTCATCAAAGCTGGAGACCAAGGCAGAGCCATAAATCAAGACTCTTTTACAGTAGAAACTGAGCTGTATCATAACAAACAAAGAGACGAGAACAGGGACCGAGAGTGTCCTGCGTCCCTAAGGAAGGAGCTTCACACGGGCACTGTTTCCCCAAACATACCTGACACTACCAGTGACCTGACGCAGTGTTCCTAACGAAGCCTACCACAGCTACACACCACCGTTATAGGTGATTTCTTTCTTCCCTTGCAGGGCTTTTTGCCACTTTTACAAGCAGGAGTCATACATCTTTCCAAAGCCAAAGATAATTCTCCTCTAGAATGCCACCCGGCTGATCTTTCACAGGATTAAACACAGCTTCACAGCACCAGTTAGACAAAGTAAGACAGATTCCTTCCATTAAACACCAAGTCCAGCGGCAGGTCACAACGCGGGTGGGTCCAGCAGGGTGGCAGAGGCGGAGAGAGCCTCTTCCAGGGAATGAAGCACTCTGTGGACGGCCCTTTCACTCATCATCTATCAAGTAACACCTCAGTAGCTAACAGGCCTCGCAGCTCAGAGAGCCACGTTCCGCACTGAGGCAAAAAATCATGCCAAGACATCTGACACGGTGTAATTCAGACTTGTGCTTTAGACCCAAACTTACAAGCATAACGACAAAAAATTAACTCTTTTTCCAAATTGTGTTCCTGGTTTATGTGGAATTCCTGCTGTGTTACTAAAACTTACAGATTTTTAAATAGGCAGATGTAACTAATAAGGAATGGAATGCTTCATTTAAAATACAAAGTCCAAAATTATTTGGATTAATATTTCATTAAGTTGCCAATGACATTTAACAAAGTTATGCTATCTTCTCTTTTCAAAGAATTAGAAGAATATTCTTTGCTGAAAGAATAAAGTTTGAACACAGCAGTGAGTGAAATAACACATGCTTCCCCGTGTGCCCAAACAAACATTTCCTCAGACGCAAACCCACATGCTATCAGCTACGCCCGTGGGCATTCCTTGCCTCATGGGAATTCAATAAACAGGCTGCGGGCAACCTAGAATTTCCTGAAGAAGTATATTACATAGTAAAGAATGCTGGGAAAAGGATTCGGTTTGGTACTTCACTCAGAGTCAAGTTAATGATCACAACAGAAGAGGGATGAGAGCATGCTTGTAGGAGATCACATGTTAACAAGGCAGGCCCGGTCTCAATGATTTAAGATGAAACCACAGGAACCAGTCTCCCAGGTCAGAGCCAGGTGCAGTGACCTCTGTGCGGCAGCATCTTGGGCTGCAGCGGGGTTCAGTGACAGGGCACTCGCCTAGCCTGCAAGGGGCCCTCGGTTCAGTCCTCTGTACCACCCATGTGTAAGGGAGGATGACCTCAGGTCAGTGGATCTGCAGTTAAGCTCAGCACTGGGCCCTGGGACAAACTATTTAAACACCCTGAGGCCAAGAACTGTCCTAAACAAATAAGCAAACAAACAGTCCTCCCCTGTCCCACCCCAGGAAGAATGAACACTCAGGCCTGGGGAGTAGCTTGGTGAGAGTTCTTGCCCTGCACTGCACTCACCAGACCAGAGTTCAGGTCCCAGCACCTGGGGAGGGGGTGGAGGGCGGGCAGAGAAAGAAAATCAGGCAGTGCAGTGAAGTGCTGGGTAGAGGGCCTGCGACACAGAAATTATTTTATTGCTTTTACTATTGTAATTTTTATTATTTTAAAAAAATAATCTGCACTTGACGGAAAAGAATCTTGTGAGTTACAGATCAGACTTATTTGCACTGATTTAAATAAAGGCAAGTCGAACACAAATAAAGAGCTGTATTACTACATATTAAAGATCACTCATCTGCGTCAGTGCCTGCCTGTTCTGTACCTGAACTGACACTGGACTTCCTAGGCTTCGTTCAGGCCTCAAAAAGTCCTTAGCGTGTATCTAACATTTTGAGAGATTTGAGATGATTATGCAACTTCTAAAATGTTTACCCTAAGTTTTATATTAGGTTTGTGCAAGATGTTATTTGCTTCATCACTTAGAAGACTCGTTTAAGTACAAAGGTTACCTTTTAGAAAGATTTTAACTGTGGGTAGTATCTAAAAGCGAAAGATCCGCTCCCACTAGAGAGCACGACTTCTTCATAAAAAACTAACCTTTCAACTTATGTTAATAAGCTGTACGCCTATGGTTAGATACACTTTACCTGCCTGTCATATATAAGGTCTCTCCAGATCACCTACTGCCTACATGTAGACAAATCGTTTCAATGACGAGGAGACAAATTCCCTTCTACATGTACAGGTAACAAACCGTGACAAAACTCTGGAGATGAACTTTTTAATTCTACCTCATAAGCTCTACCACGACTCATGGGTATGGCAGCAATTGCTTTAGGGCAAGGATTTGTACCAGTGGGAGAAGGGTTACATTTACCTACTCTTTATTGAGGTGGGATGGACAGGGATTGAACCCAGGGCCTCACACACAATGGACAAGCACTAGAGCACTGAGGTACACACTGGCCTAAGGAGAATTACACTTAAAATACACCCAGTCACTTACTAGCAAAATCTACATGTTCTCTGTTTGGCTGTTTTGCACAGGGTCTCGCTACGTCGTTCAGGCTGGCTGGGAACTTGCAGTGACCCTCCCGCGCCAGCTCCGGAGTGCTGACCTTAGGCATGCACCACCATCCAGCATGAGTGACAGACACTAGGTACAGCACAAGTCTGTCTGACTTCCGAGTCAGCAGAGAAATTTCAAACTGTTGACAGGCCAGAGAAAGCTAGCTTTCTGGATAGCTTTTCTCAGGAATCATTCATAAACATGTATATATGAGGTCAGCTTCAGAAAATAATGCTTCAGACTTTTTATCAAATTCATTTAGAACTCTAAACGTTAAAATAAGAAAATTACTGTTAACACATTAGATTCTCCGGAGAATCAAGATATAATAAAAGGAACCTAATTATTTTCAAAATACCCACTAAATGGAAGGGTGGCAGAAGACTCCCTGGGTTACCTGGCTGTCTGTGTCTGATCCTGTCATGGTCAGGGCACGTGCAGCCCCACGAGGCCACCAGTGCAGCTCTTCTCACTGGACTGAGCCCTCGACAGGATGATGGGGCTTCTTAGTTACCAGTGATGAAAATGTGAACAACTCATAGAGCTGGCTCATTTTTACATTTCTGCAGCTAACAGAAAGATTACACCAGGCAGCACCAAGTCCACAGCTGCCACCATAAACATGTCAGGTCACCAAACCCATAAACAACACGGGACTCTTACCTGTATCTGCACAGTAATTAATTTGACTATTCTGACTTATCGGTTTTAACCCTGATCACATGCTTTATGGAGAAAATGTCATTAGGGAGACTGAAAAAAATGATCACGGCTCATTCATTTCTAGATGGCCTTAAAATGACAGTGTTCCAGAGCGGCTAAAAGCACCTGATGAGATAAATGCATGTGTGGGGTTTGACATCAGCGACAGTCTATCCAGCAACCTCGCCGGTAATCAAACAATTACAAAATAGAAAGTACATCTTGTACAGGCTGACAGGGCCATTAAATCAGGAGAGCTGTGGGCAGACGTCCTGACACTGCAAGAATTACCAGAAAGCATTAATTTCAGCATTAATAAAACGGCAGTAAATAGATGACAGCTGCCACATGAACTAAGAAATAAGGTCACTGGCCTTGTTAAGCTCGCGTCTCATCTTCTCAGGCACAAACTGATCGAGGCAGCGTCTGAAGTGAAGGGCGTCAATGGCGACGATCTCGGTGCAGCGGCGCTGCCAGCCATCCCTGGGTCAGGACACAAAGGGCAGAGGATGAGGGGCAGCAGCCCCCAGACAACACCCGCGAGGCACACGGCTGACTACCGGACAGTGGTGACGCGTTACAAGTGATCTGTGCTGCGGCTTTCAGGAGACTGTCTCACTTATACACTCTGAGACACACACTTTGTGCACTGTTAGGCATCAAATAAAAAGGAAAATCAAGACACCGCACGCAAATTGTGGACACAGACATCATCAGAGCCAGTCTCAAAGATGAACTGATTTGGAAGCAAGCAAAAGGAATTTAGGCTCTGTTTCCCTCTTGGACTAAGGATGTGGAATCTGTAGATCACTCCTTTGTTTTGAGAGATATGCTCTAAATTACTGGCCTGTAACATCAACATGCTGCCACATGCTATGAAAAATGTTTGATAATTCAGTGCAGTATTCCACCTACTGTGCTCAATGCTGACTACAAGAAAGTATTCTTAAAAGACAAAAATCATCAAAGCAGACAATATGTTGACTGGTGATGTACAAAGCACTAGCTGGGACAATAATTTCAGGAATGTATAAAATTTTACATACTTCATCTGTTTATAAAGTTTCACATATTGATATGCCAAGCAACTCCTCACTCTGGAGAACAACAACAGAAACCTTCATGTTAGTCTGTAAACAATCACTGGGGGTGAACACCCACCACGGGTAACTACTGTGGCCAGAAATTCTACACACAAAAAAAGGCAAGAAGGCAGAGGCTGATGTGAGACAGCCCAGATTCGGCTACCTGGGCAGCAGCCAGCTTGCTGCTGCCAGATGGCTCACTGGAGAACAATCTGCCTGGGTAACGGAGGAGTCAGGGTCTGAAGTCTGTTCCACACAGCACAGCGCAGGGCTGGCGGTGGTCTGCGGCACCAGGCAGTGTCCCGGGAAGCTTCCTCCGTCCAGTAAGCGCAGAGGGACTGAGAGTGAAATGAGCCGGCCGAAGGCTCCACTGAGAACTGATGGCGGGAATGGCAGTCACCTCCACCACACCCAGGCGGCAGCTTAGCGGTAAGGAACTACAGCGAACTCAAGTGCCTTTCTTGTTTTGCTGTAGATGTCTGGTTATTTTTTTTTACTTTAAAAAGAATAAAAACCAGAAAGTATCAAGAAGCAAACAATCAAAAAATAACAAAAACACAAGCAAAATAACAACATCAACAACAAAAAGTAATGATGATGTCTGGTTTTTATTGTCTGTTCCTTCCTTTGGTATATGGAGACGAGCAGTTTTCAAAAAAAAATTTTTTTAATATAACAAAGGATAGTTTACTTGGAAAAAAGAAAAGCTAAGACAGCTACCACGGAGTGGGAGGAAGAATCAGGGCTGACCCCCCCCCCCCTTTTTGAGACAGGTTTTGCTATGCAGTTAGGCTGAACTCCCATTCTGGCAATCCTCCTGCTTCAGCCTCCTGAGTACTAGACTCACAGGTGCACACCACCACACCTGGCATTCATGTAGTTTTGAGTGACAATGAACTTGTAATGCTGAGGTTAAAAAGAAAATCCAATTGCTGGACGAAGAGCAGAAGGACACAGATCACCACAGGGTAACCCCCACACGCCTCTTTTTGAGCCCGGTAGCCCAGGCAGCACAGACTCACCTTTCGCTGTCATCCTCGTGGCTGCGGGCCCAGCGGTACGTCTCAGCATAGCCAGTGTACTCGCTGTACTGCTCCGTCCCTGAAACAAGGAACTGGTGACCACGCCTGCGCACTCCATGGGAAGCCCGCCCAGCCTAGCACAGGGGAAGGCACCCTGCCATTCAGCACTGAGCTGGACAGCCCCGCGGGGCCAGGTAGAGGGGAAGAGGCAACAGACACCAAGAGCGCGAAGAACGAACAGGCTGGGCGTGCTGCTCAGGGGAGAACACATGCTCAACTCGTGGTCAGACCCTCAAACAACAACACTGTCCATCTGAAGAAGATGCCCCGATTGGTCACGGAACAAATTCTAAAAAAGCAACGAAAGAAAGAGAGCTCACAAGCTTAGTAAGATGGAAGCTAACTCTGTACACTAGCAGCGAACAATGGGAAATGAAACTGTCAAACCCCACTGACCATCGCGTCAGGAGCAGGAAACGTCCAGGACTCAGTGTCCCGACGGGTGTGGACACGCCACTGAGAGAAAATGAAACACACTGTCCACTGGGTACTGCCACGAGGCTCGTGTTTGGTCTAGAGATTCACCTTCATTCTAAATAATCATAGTAGAATTTGTATTTACTTATTCTTTGTTTTTCTGAGACAGGCTCGCATGCAGTTCAGGCTGGCCTCACACTCATGGTGACCCTCCTGCCTCAGCATTCCGAGTACTGAGATTACAGGTGTGCACCACCGGGCCCCGCCCCGGGAGACTGTCTGGAAGGTAGTACTTGAGAAGAAAGGCATGTCCATTTAAACATTAGTGTAGACCAGCAGAGAAATTCTGAACAAGGAAGTCACAGGACTCATCTAGCTCCTTCAGCGTACACTAGGTCGGTCTTGCTCCAAGGAAGGACACCGAGAGAACTACACAGACTCTGCAACCGTCAACCGCCGGCCAACAACGGTGCTGGGCCAGGCCGCCCAGGAAAGGGTACATTTTCCAGCAAACACTGTGGAAACAAGCAGGCATTCGTAGGAGAAAGAAATAATAAAGCTCAACTGTTACACTACAGATAAAATTCTGAGATAAGAGCACAGACAAATACAAAATTATAACAGCTGTAGATAAAACGCGGGACAGTAGCTTTATTATGACCCTCCCCCTCGCTCCCTTCACCCTTCCTCTTTTCCTTCTTTCCGCTTTCCCTCCTCCTTTGTTTTTGGTGTGAGGGACTGAATTCAGGGCTTTTGCACTGAATTACTTTCCTCAAAATTTTCAATTTTCAGACAGGATCTTGCTTAGACACTAAATCACCCAGGCTGGCCTTAAACCTGTGATCCTCCTGCGTTGGTCTCGGACAGTGCTAGAATTACAAGTGAATACCACCAGATCCACATGACAGGAAAGATTTCTTAGAATGGAAAAAGAATACACAGTTTAGAAAAAAGTCCATTTTTTGTCCTAAACTTCCACTGCCAGGTATCTACTCAATACAAACTGAAAATACATGTCCACAAAAAGCAAACCCAAACAAACCAAAAACCGTACTGAAAAATGTCTACAGTAGGTTTATCTGTGATAGTTGTCCATTAGTCAGGGTCCGACCAGAGGAACCGAGCCAGCAGGAGACAGCTGGAGAGACTTCCTGCAAGGTGCTGGTTACACAGCTCTGGGAGGGCGCCACGCCCCGGGCAGCTGCTGCTGTCCTTGGGGTATACTGCTTTCTCCTCGGCTCTTAAGATCTTTCAACTGATGAGCCTCATGCTAAAGTCTTAAGTGACTCTTCTAGTTGCTGAGACAAAATAGCTGGCACTCAAAGTGAAATGAGGAAAGGTTTATTTGGCTCACAGTTTGTAGAGGTTTCAGTCCATAGTTGGCACCCTTCAGGACAGGGTGCCATGGCAGAGGGGCATCGTAGAAGAGAAACAGTCCATGGCAGGCAGAAGGCAGCAAGCAGCAAGCAGCACCCGCAGCAGCCCTCTTTCTGTCCCTTGTACTCTATATGGGCTCCCCACCCTTAGGACAGGCAGTGACCACACTAGCTGGGGCATCCTTAAGCCAGCATCACACATGCCAGATCCAGCTGCCTTCAAAAAGCTCTACCTATGACTCACTGGGGCTTTGGGGGCACATTTAGAGATTACTGTGACCAGTCTCCCTTTTTGAATGGTAATTGATTGTGGACTTTAATTATACCTATCAAATATCTTTACAGTTCATACCCAGATTAGTGTTTCATTGAAGAATGGGGGTTGTAGCTTAGCCAGGTTGACATATAAAGAGCACAAAGAACTTAAAAGCAGAAACAATCCAAATGCCTATCAACAGAAAATCTGCAACATGTAGCACGATCTTACAGAGGAATACTTCTTAGTAATAAAAAAGAACTAGTGATGTATTCACCATACAGATAAATTTCCCATACACTGTGGGAAAGAAGATAGAGGAAAAGAAGATAGAACACTATCTAACTCTGTCTAGATGAAGTTCTAAAAAAGACAAAACGATATATATAGGACTCCAGGGAATTTTCTGAGGTGACTGATGGACACGTTCCATATCTTGACAGAGAGGTGGGATACAAGAGTATATGTGTTTGCCAAAAACTTGCTGTATTACACACTTCACATCTTAAACTGTGTATAAATTTTACTTAAGACAAAGTTGTAAACAAGTAGTGACACTACAGAGACTGCTTTTCTCAGTGGCACTATTTAGCAGTTCTGAAACTACCTTTTGTATATTCTGGCATGAGAAAATATGGAAAGACTACAAGGCATGCTGTGATGCTGGAGAGGAAAGGAAGGTACGTGTGTGAATTCACAGCTGTGTGTGTGTGTGTAAACACACACATGGATATAACATTATATTTTGGCTCAAATCTTGGCTTCTAAAAAACTACTCTAAAATCTGAGATGCCAAATTCAGTAACGTAGCTGCATACAAAGTCAATTCTGAAAACAATAGCATTCCTATATGTGAATAACAAGCTTACTGAGAAAGAAATGAGGGGAATAACACTTTCCACCACAGCACCTCAAAAACGACATAGCCGGGAAGGAACCTAATGAAGGATGTGGGCGATCTCTACACTGACAAGTGCAGCACTCTGAAAAAGGAGACTGAAAGGGATATTAGAAAACGCAGACACCCCGTGCTCTTGGGTAGGAAGAACTAACGTAGTGGAAACGGCCGTGCTTCCAAACTGTTACACAGATTCAGTGCAACCCCAACCAAAATTCCAATAGTGTACCTCACAGTATTAGAGAAAGCAACGCTAAAATTCATCTGGAACAAGCAAAGACTTAGAGTAACAAAGGCAACGTGGGCAATAAAGACAAGACAGGAGCATCACAACCCCTGACTTGAAATTACATTACAAAATTACTATAATAAAACAAGGTACTGACCAAAAAACAGACCCAAAGATCAATGGGACACGTTAGAAGATGCAGACACAACTGAAGATACTCTAAGCCACTTTATTTTTGACAAATGTGCCAAACATATTCGCTGCAAGAAAGATAATCTCTTTAATAAATGGTGCTGGAAAAATTGGCTCTACTCATGCCAAAGATTAAAACTTGACCTGTATCTTTCACCATGCACTAAGTTAAAATCAGAATGGATCAAAGATCTTAACATTTAAACAGAAACATTAAATCTGCTGGAAGACAGGTAGGTAAAACTCTAGAAGACATAGGTAGGTGTAGCTAAAGATTTTATGAACAAAACCCTGATTACACAGGAACTATTACAAAGAACCAACAATTGGTATCTCACCCCACTGAAAACCTTCTGCACAGCAAGAGAAACCACCAACAGAGTGAAGAGATAACCGACAACATGAGATAAAATGTTTATCAGATGTACCTCAGATAAAAGATTACTACTGAGAACAATAAAAAAAAAATCAGTCCTCTCAGATTTAAAGACCTAATCCAAAAATGGGCATCTGAGATGAACACATGCTTCTCAGATGAAGAAATACAAACAACAAACAAATATGTGAAAAAATGTTCAACATCAATGGTCATTCAAGAGATGAGAAGTGTAACAACACTGAGATTCCACCTCACCCCAGAAAGAATGGCGACTGTCAAGAAATCAAGCAATAACAAATGCTGGAGGGGCTGTGGGGGAGAAAGGAACCCTTCTTCATTGTTGGTGGGAATGCAGACTGGTACAACCACCGTGGAAACCAGTGTGGAGACTCCTCAAAAAACTAGACCTAGATGTCCCATTCAACCCAGCTACTCCCTGTGAGTATCTTCCCAAAAGAATTAAAAGTATCAAACCACAGTGATATATGTGCACCCATGTTTATAGCAACATAATGTGCAATAGATCTTGGAGACAACCTAAATGTCTATCCACTGAGGAGCAGATAAAAAAGATGAGACTTTTTATACAATGGAGTACTACTCAACCATAACCAATAAGCTGGAGACTTTTATAGGTAAATGGATGCAACTTGAGAACATACTCATTAGTGGAATAAATAAGACACACATATGTATTTTTTTTTTTTTATTGGTACTGGGGATCGAGCTGAAGACTGCCTGCTTGCAAGGCAGGTGCTTATGCTGCTGAGCTAAATCCCCAGCCCCTACACACATATGTAGACATCATACTGTCTCACTAGTGGGAGAAGCTGAAAGTAACATATGTGTATGTGTATGTATATGTATATATATGTACATAGTTAAGATAGTTAAAAACTCCTTGGTGAAGGGTGCAGTGTTACAGCAGGGGCAGGGAATATACAAGATGGATCTAGAACATCGTCTGGTGCTAAAAAAGGAGCTGCTCCAGAACAACTGCATCCAAACACAACGGACCTATGACAAAGGAATACAACAGCTGGAAGGAGCACCCCGATCAAATGTGGGGCAACGCAGCATTCACGGATGACAGAAGCAATAATAATCTGTTCTCTGTAAAGCCCCTACTAATAAGTAAGGATGAAGAAGTAGTCCTTTCTTACGGTAGAACACCAACTACTAAATGCAGAACACAGTACTGACTTCAGTTCAGGACCTGAATTCCTCCCACGACGCTGGTGGCAGAATTTGCTCTACAATGCTAGTGTCATG